GGGAGAATCGTTATCTTAATGAAATTTAGAATAAGAGAGGAAGGGGAAGCGAAAAGAGAGAAGGGGGAACACAAGGGAGAGATGGATGTATATAGAAATGAAAGGAGATATAAGAAGCAAGAAAAAAGACAGAAAAGAGGCAAAAAGAAAGAAAAGAGGGGAGGTAGGGAGGTAGAAGAGGGAGAGAGAAGAAAAGTGAGGAGACAGGGAAATGAAGAAAGAGATAAAAGAGACGAGATAGGACAGAGGGAGATGGGAAAAGAAAGAAAAGGGAAGGGATAGGAGAGCTTGAAGGGTACAGCCCGCCCCCCCCCCCCCCCAAAAAAAAAAGGAATAAGGAGAAACTGACAGAAAATGAGGGTGAGAAAGAAAACGAAAGACAGAGACAGGGAGGACAAATCTAAAAGGTCAACAGCGATTTCACTGTACGTCAGAAGGGCAGGCAAAAGAGTACATAAACAAAACAATTTATTTACATCATAAATTAAACAGAATATAGTTTTGAAAAATCAACAAATCAGTCACGAGTTTTACTATTTTCTGTGACGATCAGGAGAAAAAAAAATCACAGAAAATTATGAAAATCAATAAAAATTAACAACAGGATTTTCTTTATGTAAGCATCGAAAATAATTTTTGCTCGAAGTCTCTACAGGAACTTGTTGACAGCATCTTCAATCAATTGCTGGATGAAGGTGGTCTTGTCATCGTAGGTTGGGGCACCGTAACCGCTGTCGAATTTAAAGATTGGAATTAATATAAATTTGATAGAATTGCGTTTTTAAAAGAAGTAAATATCATCATGCAAAGCTTATCTACAAAAAGAAAAATTTCAGAAACCCAAAGCCTCTTAAGACGAAGCGAAACTCACGCAGTGGAGGCGTAGTCGTAGGGCTGAGCGACCTTGGCCGTTGTCCCGAAGAGCCCCAGGAAAGACGAGACCAAGAGCAGGCCGACGAAGATGGCCCCGATGAAGAAGAGGGACTCGGCGCCCATGGTGACGGATTTGTCGGCGTCGTCGAAGAGAAGTCGTGCGTCGTTTTTGTGGGCGGCGTCGGCTGCGTGCGTGAGGGCGGCCAGGGCGAGGAGGAGGGCGGCGAAGGTGATTCCTGCAAAGGGATGGGTCGGGATTGCAGTTTTGTTCAAGATGGTTAAGATGGCAGAAATAACAAAAACAATACACATGTGTGTCTGAAGTGATATGAGAGATAAACCCACTGGAAGTAAATTCCTTTAGACGATCTGTTGAAGATCATTCTATACACGAATTTCACGGTCTCAGAAATGGTCCTAAGTTCCAAATATCCAAACATATAAAATTGACATTCACACCAAGTTCCAAATATCCAAACATATAAAATTGACATTCACATATCAAGTACAGTACCAAATCGAGGTCTGCATAATCAGTATTTTCACACAAACCCAGGCACATATTTGCATATACTATATCAGCTAAGCGTTTGACCGTACCGTGATCGGCCATTGTGAAGCGCAAAAGCTTAAGAAGCGGAGCAGGACAAGCAGCAGAGTAGGTCGTGACTCGATGGCGTTCACAGGATGACTGATGCCTCGAAGGCCCTCGAGCTTGCTTAAGTAGTCCTACGGGGGAGGCAAAGTACCTGCATTGCGCCACACTTTCTATTCCTAGCGACGGGGATATAGCTATATCTATCTATCCATATACATACATACGTATACATACGCACACACGCACATATATATAAACATATACATGTATGTTTACACACATATATTTATGCATATGTGGCTGGAATACAGCTGGATACATGAATAGGCAAGTAAACATATTGATAGAATCTGTAACTAGAGGTGGCTTTGGATTTGTCTTTTTAGGAACTAACAAAAGAAAAGAGAAGAACAGAAAAAATCGGACCACCTATTAGTCCGGATTTGTAGATACGAAAAGATAACGTGATAGATAGTAGATATAGATATATGTATTACTATATCTGTAAATAATGTATATATAGTTCTCATCATATATAATATATATATATATATATATATATATATATATATGCCATATGTATATTATATATATATATATATATATATATATATATGTGTGTGTATATATAGAAAATATATATAGGTGTGTGTGCCCTCGCTAGTATTAAGCGATCTCGTAGAGACAACATACCTCACCGACACTCGGCACCCACAATTGTGAGACACTTTCCCTGCGTGGGCGTGTCCGTTTTCATGTGCCCTTCCCTTAATCGTTAATGCTTTAGACTCAGTTTTATTTCTCTATTTGTCTGCACATTTGGTTTTTCTTCTACGTCATTTGCTGAATGTTGAGGGCCTGTTTCATAATACTGTAGATTGAAACTTTTTTCTTGGACGAGTGACCAAGAATGTTTTTTTTTTTTTTTTTTTTTTTTTTTTTTTTTTTTTTTTTGATATTAATCTAATGATTTTGACTGTTTATTGTTATTGCTTTCGCCTCAAGTTAGTACTCCGGGTTCTTCCCTGCGGACGTTATTTATATCTCTATCTATTCTATATCTTTTATAAGTATAAATCTAATATCTATATATACATATATGTTGTGTATATATATATCTGTATCTATATCTATATCTAATCTATCTATCTATCTATAGTATATATATATTATATATATATATATATTATATATATATATGTATGTACACACACACACGTACATATACATATAATATACATACATACTATAGTAACACACACACACACACACACACACACACACACACACACACAGACACACACACACACACACACACACAACACACAGCATATACATATCATATCATATATATATATATATAATATATATATATATATATATATATATATATATTATATCTCTCTCTCTCACCACACACGCATAATATATATATATATGTATATATATGTATATATATGTATACATACATACATATATATACTTATATATATATATGTATATATATACAATAATATATACACACATATATAATATATAGTCACACACACACACACGTACATTTAACTTTGGTTTTTGACCTAAGGGTTGTGATTACTGTCATCATGCGATAACAAGTAACAAACTCCGATAAAAAAATGCATAGAGAAAAGAGGAAAGAGGAAATGTTAAGCAGTTGGTACTTAAAGATCTAATCTGATTAAGACTCTAATGATAACCTTCTGAAACGATACGATATATTTGGAAATGCCAATATGCAATTGCGCTGTAGGAATGCAACACTATTTCCCCTTTCTGTCTGCATATCAGCTCTTCATCATATCGCTGGCTAATATATAGTATATATATATATATATATATATATATATATATATATATATATGTCACATACATAAGAAAGAGAGATGGAAATATATGGATCAATATTTTTACTTAAATAGCAATTCAGAGCAGTTAGTATTTAGAATAAGAGAAAAAGAAATAAGAGAGTATGGGAAAAACGAGGAAAAAGAAACTGGATCTATATAGAAAAGAAAGAGAAGAAGTTAGAAAATGAGATATAAGGCATAGAGGAGAATAGAAGCTAAAGAGAGAAGATAGGAGAGACAGGAGATAGATAGGAAAGAAGCAAAGAGAGGAGACAGAGTAAGGATGAAAAGAAATGTGACAGGAACGAGAGCGATCGGAAAAAAAGGAAACTAGAGGGAAAAGGAAAGTTTGAAGGGGTGAAGAAACAGGAGAATATATAGGTAGAAAGTGAGAGTGAGGAAGAAAACGAAAGAAGGGGGATAGGGAGAGGACAAATCAAAAAGAGGATAAACAATTCATATTACGTCAGGACAGTCAAAAGCTATATACAAACAAAACAATTTATTTACATCATAAATAGAACAAAATATAGTAAACAAAAGATCAACAGATCAGTCACAGGTTCCCCTGTCTTCTGTGAAGTTAAAATGATTTTGTTAAAATAAATAATTTTAACACAGTGTTCTTTATAGCAATTTATGCTCGCGGTCTCTACAGGAACTTGTTGGCAGCATCGTCAATCAGTTGCTGGATGAAGTTGGTCTTCTCATTGTAGGCTGGGGCAGGAGCACCATAACCGCTGTCGAAAGTGAGATTAGAATGAATATCAAATTAATACAGTTATGCTTTCATATAAACTAATGTCACTATACAAATTTTATGTATAAAGAGATCAATTGCAGAACGCCAAAACCTCCAGACGAGGCGAAACTCACGTAGCGGAGGCGTAGTCGTAGGGCTGAGCGACCTCGGCCGACGTCCCGAAGAGCCCCAGGAGAGACGAGACCAAGAGCAGGCCGACGAAGATGGCCCCGATGAAGAAGAGGGACTCGGCGCCCATGGTGACGGATTTGTCGGCGTTTTCGAATAAAAGTCGTGCGTCGTTTTTGTGGGCGGCGTCGGCTGCGTGCGTGAGGGCGGCCAGGGCGAGGAGGAGGGCGGCGAAGGTGATTCCTGCAAAGGGATGAGTCACGGATTGCAGTTTTGTTCAAGATGGTTAAGATGGCAGAAATAACAAAAACCGATACACGTGTGTGTCTGAAGTGATATGAGAGATAAACCCACTGGAAGTAAATTCCTTTAGACGATCTGTTGAAGATCATTCTATACCCGAATTTCACTGTCTGAGAAATGGTCCAAGTTCCAAATATCCAAACATATAAAATTGACATTCACATATCACAAGTACAGTATCAAATCGAGGTCTGCATAATCAGTATTTCCACACAAACACCCAGGCACGTTTATGCATATACTATATCAGCTAAGCGTTTGACCGTACCGTGAGCGGCCATTGTGTAGCGCAAAAGATCAAGAAGCGGAGCAGGACAAGCAGCAGAGTAGGTCGTCACTCGATGGCGTTCACAGGGTGACTGATGCCTCAAAGGCCCTCGAGCTTGCTTAAGTAGTCCTACGGGGGAGGTACAGTACCTGCATTGCGCCACACTTTCTATTTCTAGCGACGGGGATATAGCTATATCTATCCATATACATACATACG